CTCTCTGCATCAGGACCCGATGCCATCAGGCAACGTCGATTCAGGTATGAAAACAGTTCCCTTTTCAGGCGTTCTATAACATCTATTAATTAAAATAAGTGCTCTATATTCTGTCATTTCTAAACTTTTTTGTCTTCCATCTCTAGGTTTCTCCCAGTTGATGATCTCTTTCTACTACGGAGGGAAGCTGATGTACAACACACTGGTTTCTCATCCAGAAGGCTGCCGGATTGCCCCCCAGCAGCACCTGGGTCGTGGCGCCCTCTACAGTTCAGACAGCATGCAGAACGTTCACTTCCCCCCAGCAGAGCTTATAGAGTACGAGCGGCAGCGCTACTTCACCCGCAAGCTGCTGGGTCACTTGGAGAGAGGCGTGCTGGTGCGTGCAAACCAAGAGGGCATCTTCATTAAAAGACTGTGCCAGAGTCGAGTCTTCTGCAGCGGTCTGGGGGATGGCAGCTCCCAGTACGGCTCCATGCCCTGGAAACTCGAGAGGGATTCTGTAGTCAAGATTTTTGACACCGGGAGGTTTTTTCAAGGTGAGTCTTAATGTTTGGAAAGCTAAAATCAATGGTTAAGACTCGTTTTCCAAGCAAAGATGTGATGTAGGAGCAATGATGTAATATGATGGCCTAAAGCTCTTTTTTTTTGTCATAAATGTTGCAGCTCTACAGCTCCATCAGGAAGGTCAGATTGCCGCGCCGGATCCCTCGGTGACGCTGTGTTTTGGAGAAGAACTGACTGATGTTAGCAGTGCCAAGAGCAAACTGATCATTCTACAGGTAAGACCTCTCGACTCACAACAGAACAGCTGAGAAAATGCGAACCTGCTGAAGAGACACAGAAATCCAACAACAAAAACATTCTTATCTTCCTTCTCCAACAACAGATCACCATGATGAGCTGCCAACACATGCTGGAGTCCCTGAACATGCGGCGCTCGCAGGCTTACACCAGCAGCTCAAACGTGGAGATGAGCGACGATGTGGCCACCGAGCAGATGGCCAGAATCTACCAGGACTTGTGCAGCTACAGTGTTCCCCAGAGGCCGGCGTGCTACAGGGACAACATGCCCATCACCGCCTGACCAGCTCAACTAGATTCACCTACAAACATATCAGACATTCTATAGAATTTTCATGTGCACCACAGAAGTGAACTGAAAGTTACTGAGGAAAAGAAAGCATCATATCTTCTCTGACAGTAGGACTTTTAGACGGAGGCTCAATTTTCAAGCTTCCATTTTGGTTTTGCCTGGAATTTCTGTTGCATCCATGCAAGGCAGATAACGACTTCATCAGTTTAAGATATTATGTTATAAGCAGGGGTTGATAAGTACTTTACATTGCCAAAGTTTCATTCAAACTAGGTTTATATAAGTAGGCAGTTGAGTTCTCAAACTGGATTTTATTTGTTTTGTTTATATTACAGTTTTAGGAGCTTAGATGATTCATTCTTGTGTGTCAAAAGTAAAAAGCAGTTGAATAATATCTCATTTCATACTATATCGTATTTTCTACAGAAAATGAAAATATTTTTGTATTAGTTGACAAAAATTGCATAATGTATTGGATGCAATGTGGCATTACAGTACAGATAGGTTTTACTATCAAACTGTTCTCTGAGTAAATAATTTCTCAAATAAAGAGTTTTACAGAAATGCGCGTGTGCTTGTCTTTTAACTATTATCAAATAGTGTACAAGTTGAGTTTCAGGCCAACTTTTCAGACCATTGACAGGATTAAAATTGACATTTTCTTCCTTATTGTTACATTTTACATTTCTTTTCACATTTGTTGCTTTTACAACCCATAAAGCTGTCTTGGTGACTAACCCCACTTAAAAAAACACAAGACAAGCTTTCGTGTTAAACTAATGTCTGTGACGCGCTGGCTTCTGCTTCTTGAAGTCTTTGTTTAATCAGGTGTGAAACCAATATTTAAAATTTAACTGCACAGCACAGCGGGTCAAGCATATTTCCTCCATCAGTGTCAAAAATGCATTTATTCAATCTAAGATATTTTTTTTATAAATAAATAAATCATAATATAAATCATGTTCCCTTTTATGTCAATGTTTTATTCTAAACGGCACAATGAATGTTACATTTTGCAGCAGAATCTGAGACATTAACACATACTCTGCACAAAACAGTAATAAAGATGTATCCCTAAATTAGAGTGTCACTGAAAATTTTCAGTAATTCCACTCAACACTAATATACAGGTTCAATAAATTTGGCTTGCAGTTATCTTTTGAATATTACATAAGATCAATGATTAAAAGGAGTTTTGCTACAGGAAAGTCAATACATGCTTGCAGTACGTTTTTGTCTGAATTACTGCATCAGTTCATTATGGCAGAGAGCAGATCAGCCTGTATTAAGGTATTATTATTATTATTAAGAAAGTCCAGGCTGTAAATTTTCATCGAATTTATTCGTTTTTCTATTCCTATCACATTTTTTTCCTTTAACTCAACTTTCCAATATATAAAACTCATTAGCGTATTTAGGAAAAATAATTTGCTGCCAACGCTCCCTGAGGAAGCTGTTATACTGCTCTGATGCAGTATTGAAACATCTTTTGAAACCTAATTTTGGCTTTTCGTTTGTGAACTCAGAAGTTTCACATTTTGAACTAAGTTCCTGTCCAAATAAAATAAATTACATTTCTGATATTTTGATTTGTCTTTTTGCTTTTAACATGTGCAGTCATGTCAAACAAGGAGATTTGATTACAAGTTGACTCAGTAATGTCTCATTTTATTTTTAAAGTGTTTTAATACCAACGTATGGTGGTGAATAAGTGTGACTTTTAATGGAAAACAAAATTTTTTGGGAGACCCCAAAATTTTGAAAGGTAGTGTGTATATATATATATATATATATATACGCATGTGTATAGATACACATATATATATATGTATATATATGTATTAAGGTATACACATGCGTATATATATACGCATGTGTATAGATACACATGTATATATATGTATATATATGTATTAAGGTATACACATGCGTATATATATACGCATGTGTATAGATACACATATATATATGTATATATATATATGTGTGTGTGTATATATATATATATATATATATATATATATATATATATATATATATATGTGTGTGTGTGTATCTATACACATGCGTATATATATATATATATATATATGTGTGTATCTATACACATGCGTATATATATATATATATATATATATATATATATATATATATATATATATATATATATATATATATATATATATATATATATGTGTGTATCTATACACATGCGTATATATATATATATATATATATATATATATATATATATATATATATATATATATATATATATATATATATATATATATATATATATATATATATATATATATATAATATATCCTGGTGTCCGTCAATTTTATAGCTGTATGGAACTTATTTATGGAGTTCTTAAAACACAAATAGTTCTCTGTGACGTAGAGAACTCCATAACCGCCGAATTCTTTTGTTTTATTCCTGTCTCTATTCACCATACAGCAACGCCAGCCGGTCTTAAACTCAGGCAGAGGTTGCTCAGTTTCTGGGATGTTAAACATTTCATGAAATGGTCTTTTCTTTTTCATGAAATGGAACGGGCTGCCACCGTTTCTGAAATGAGCAGCAGTGAAGCTGCTCAGTCGAGCCCTTGTTGCAGCAAACAGGCTGTGGCGCTTGTCGTCTTTGTGATCTTGCAGCTCTGAGTCGATGGGTAACCTTTCCCAGAGAATTGCGAAGGTGTCGTAACGCTTCTTTAGGTTGGGGTAAGTGTTAAAGATTACGTCAACGATGAAGAACTTTAAGCCGGCAGAAAAAACTAAGATGGAGCCCATCATCTGATACGGTAAAAAGCACGAGAAGAAAAAGAACACCCACAGTAAAATGTAGAACTTCATCGTCGTGTCTGGCTTGACCCACATCAACAGATTTTTTCCCTTCTCGAGGGTGTCGGCTATCAGTCCAAACAGGTTCTGGACTTGATGAAGAACATCCCAAACCTGATGGAGCTTCTCTGTGAACGACGGGTGTGCCTTTGGAAGTCCCAGCGGCTGAGTCAGCTCTGGTACGATGCTCCAGTTTATCTTCCAGCCTTCGGCAATTAAATAATTCAAAGAAAGGCGGAGAATTAATAGCAGCAGCAACATGGGGATAGTCCAGCCATGCTACGCTGTGTAGAGGTATGCGAAAAACCAAAATAAAGATAAGTGTCGAGAGGTCCAATTACACAGGGCATCCAGGTTATTAAAGAGATTTTGTAGTGGTATGGCATCTCGTTCTGCCCGTTTCATGTTCTCTTCCAACTTCTTAGGACTCAGTTTGTCCTCTTTTTTCACAATTGGGTCCTCTGGTTGGACGAGTATATCTCCAAAGTAATTTTCAAATTGATTGTAGAACTTTTTCCAATAGGTGTTCCACACAGAGTCATTGTCATTCGGAGGTGGTGGAACGAGAGGTGACTCAGGTGACGTATCTTCAACTTTTCTGTGATGTCTGTGGTGTTCTTTTCTCAATTCCCGTTTCAGTGATTCTATGTATATCTCACTATTTGCAACCTTCTTCTTTAGCAGCTGTTGTTCTTCCAAGGAATCTTTCAGCCGTCTCTGCATCTCTTTGATTTCCCCCGCTGTCACAGGAATAATCTGGGCTTCCTGCTCCAGTTCTGAGTCAGATTCACTCAGCTCATCCTGGCGTACTTTAGTCAATTCTTCATCGCTGGAGTCAAGTGAGATTAGTGGCTCAAGGCACGGAAAATGAATTGCCTAGCTTAGAAGTATTCTTTTAGTTGCAGGTGCATCCTTTGCTACAAATGTTTATAATTTTCTGCAATAAAATTTTTATTTTCTTATTTGAATTGAGTCCTTTTACTTTTTTGGATATTCTAATGTGAAGAATTAAATTTAAAAAATGCAGAATTTGTCGGTTTATTTCATCTGATTAATCACCAGAATAACTGATGAATTATTTTGAAACTAAAGTAATCGTGAGTTACGGTGGAACTCTCAGCTTGTTTTCTTGTGCTGATTTAGAGATTTGACCCAGTTGTGTGTTTTCTGGATGCAGGTGTCTGAGAAGGAGAAGCTGCTGAGTGAGAGGAACCAGCTGCAGGTCTGCATGTCCGAGCTCTGGCAGAACCTCTCCTTCCTCTCGCAGCAGGTGTGCAGAGAGGTCCAAACCAACCAGACTCCGCCCGCCTCCGCCACTATCGACCTCACCTCAGATTCTCCGGACCAGGACCCCGTGAAACCCAGATTCAGCATGGTTGGCGAGAACTCTGACGAGCTGGAGAGCAGACGGAAAGTCCAGGACGTATTCGGTCGGAAGGAGCAGAACTCAGACGGTCCAGTGGTTCTGGAATCCAGGGAGGAATTGTGTAGCCCCACAGTGACAGTGGACTTCTGTCAGGAGATGACGGTGAAGTGCGAGGAAGCCTCAGAGCTGCATGTAGGTCTAAAAAAGAAAACCAGTTTAAAACCAGTGAGAGCTGCTGTTTACAAAATGATTCAACTTTGACCTGCTGATGTCTGGCAAAGAGGTCCCAGCGTTTGGTTCCATGTTTTCTTGGAAAACATGGAAGTACTGATGTATACGCTGCAAAAACACAACATTTTACCAGGTATTTTGGTCTAGTTTTTAGTACAAATACTTTAGTACAAGTAAGATAAGATAAAACTAATTTACAAGTACATTTTCAGCAGAGAATAGGTAAGTAATTCATTGAAGTTGATGGAAAAAGTTCAAGTAGATTATTTCACTTATAACAATATATTTTCCCCATGTTATAAATTAAATAATCTACCAGTGGAAATAGTAGTTTTTCCATCAACAGGAGCTAAAAAGCTCCTGTTGTTGATGAAAAGTTACTTGTAAGTTAGTTTTGTCATGCATAATGAGGTAGACAAAAAATCTTGGTAAGATTTTGTGTTTTTGCAGTGATATTTGCACAATAGATTAAATCAAATTCTCCCTCCATTTTGTATTTGTAAACAGACCAATTTAAACTGATCAAAAATTAGTTTACTTTTCATTATTGTTAAATATTTTCATGAATTACAGAGTTTGAAAATGCGAATTTTGGTGTGTAACTTCATCCCAATTTGGAACAAAAGATTAAAATATGACTCTTCAAACTTGGGTGACCTTCTGATGGCAGATATTATTATTAAGGTGATATTTAAAAGATTCCTACAGTAGAATATGTATATTATAAAAAGTCTTTATGACTTGAGAATTTGTCCCTTGAGCAGCATACAAACAACTGAGATGATCATCACCTATGAAAACAATAATCATCTCATCAAACTTAAGTGTAAATTATCAAAAAACGAACAATAAAAACAATAAATCTGTAAAAACAAAAGACTAATGTGAAAGTATATCGCAAAAGAAAACTCCCAAATTAAAAGATTCAACAACAGAACAACATGGAGTCGTCTTGAAGATTGTTAGCCAAAATGGCTACTTTGGCCATTATGGCGAAAGCCGCCATGTTTGGCCGTAACGGACGCCACCATGTTTGAAAGTAACGGGAAAAAAAATCAGCAAAACCATCACAATTCTTGACACACCAGCTGCTTAGCACGGTGGTGGAGCGCGGATGACACCTAAATGTTGGTTCAAGCTCGATTTTAGGCGTTAACACAGTCGGATAATCTACAAAAACAACAACAACAACAAAAAAAAAAACGGCTGAAACAGAGGAACGACAGCGTTGCCACGGCAACAGCTGTGGGTCGCCCCTTCGCAACTGGCCCCAACTCAGTCGGTTTACATTCCGGCTCGGTGTTTTCAGTTTCTCACTTCAGTTCACTCTCGTCTGTCCAGTCTGAAAATCAATGTGTGCATCACGGCGGTCAAATTGTTTTACAAACTGCCGCTGTTTATTGGGACTTCCTGGAAAATGGCGGTTACCTAGAAAACGGCCAGGGTGGCGTTTCAACGACACAAAGGACTTTGGCGGAAAATCACGTTTTTTTTTTCTGTTTAGTGAAGCAGTTTTGTAATTTTGACAGGAAGCATAAAAATCAATCCTCTAAACTAAATTATTTGATTCCTGATCGCTCTGATCATCAAGCACATCCTGTTTTTAGTAGACTCTCACTGCTGCCCCCTGCTGGAAACAGCATTACACATATTGTCATGTCATCAACTTCCTAAAAACAAAACAAAACAAAAAAACAACAGTCATCTTTTGCGAAGTGATTTATCTTTTAAAAAATCCAAATCATCTTTTGTGATTTTTTAAAATGTATTTATTTTTTAAATCACTTCTGGCAAAAAATGACTTAGGCCACATATTTTGGGAAGGTGACACAATTCACTCTAATTTGTAAGGAAATATCAATGCAGAATAAGATTCAACCAGACTCTAAATGCATGGATGGATTTATGTTTTTACTTGTTTTATTTTAATGTGTCTATTAGGGTTTTGCTAATGTATTTTTAAGATTTGATAGTTAAGCTGCAGTTTAACATTCTTATTTAAAAAAGTTTGCCCTGTGTTTCAGGGAAAACATCAGACTTCAAAAACACAACTAATACCTTCATGAGGAGCTTAGATATTTGAGTTTTGCAGGAACTCCCCTTGTTTTCACAGCCAGAATTTCACCAATTAACATTGTTTCACTCTCTAAACTAGAGATATCAACAAAAATGTATTCTTCTTCAGTGAGATACTTCTTTGTGCTTTGAATGCCAGCTGTTTTATAAATCCTCCACTTTTAGACTTCTTTCCAGACAGTGAAGTTACTGATTTCAAGCTCATTTTTGTCTTTGAATCTTTACCAGACTCAGGAGCTGCAAAAGTCTTCTCCATGAAGGCTTCTGACAAAAGTTTCAATCATCAGCAGCACCCAATATAATATGTATATAATTTTAGCCATTTTAATTTATTCTTTACTCAAAAATGCTCGTTTTCTTTAGTTTTCTTATGTAATTTAGCAATCATCCATATTATACAGAAATGAAAGAAAACAATTTTTTTACATCAATTTATGTTGATTTCACATTTACAATGAAATAACTTAATTCACTTCAAACTATTTGGACAAAAGTGTCATCAGACAGACCAGGAATATTTTAATCACCCAACAAAAGTAAATTGAAGGGGGATTTATTACTATAAATAATTATGAAGCTTTGCTCAAAGGGAATTCCTTCATCTTTGAGATATGCATTACTTACTACAAACACATAGCATTATTCACCCTGCGTTTAAAAGGATGAAACTAAAACCTTATTGCAAAGTAAGAGGATCTAGACGGGGAAGCTTCTAGACACTTTTTCCTGATGACTAACAGAGAAAGCATAGGAAGAGAGGTGACCAACTGAAGCTGAGTGATTCTGTGATTCACAGTGAGATTCCTTCATCTGCTTCTCCCTCGTTTCTTGCTGCTGCTCTTTGTGAGGAAGCCATGATGGCATTAACCTAAAGGCCAAAAGGCAACACTGTAAGGGAAGTGTGTTACGTTATGCGTCATGTCGGCACACATACACACACTCCCACACAAAAATAAATGTTTTCAGAGCTGGACTTGCCAATATGTATCACTGACCTACTGTGAGTCCAAGTATACTTGAGCATAAGGGCAAAAACTAATGACCTTGCATTCTTTTTCAACATCTTCTGGCAGAGAACGCAATTCATGCTTTAGTTGATACCGGAAAGTCAACCCAGTGCTAAACAAGCAGCAGCAAACCATGACACTACCAACGCATGTACAATGTTATTTTCCTTAAATACTGTAGATTTATGTCAGATATTAGAGGATCTTTACATAGTTCCAAATGCTTTGTTTCCTCAGACAGCTGAATGTTTTGCTAAAATAATTTAGAGCATCAGAAACATTTTTTTGGTGAGCGTGTTTTTGGCTAGCAGTGGTTTTAGCGTTGGAACTGTCCCACCGATGCCATTTTTGCCCATCTTGGCGCTCTGTGACTGTGACGTATCCATCAGGGCGACATCCTGGTGTTTTGCAAATAGCAGTCGCCAGCTTCAACCTGGAGGTAAATGTTTAGACAGTTTGTGTCCAGACTTTGTGGGGTTTACAGAGATATTAGCTGCCTTTTTGATGTAATTGATCTTTGTACTCTGTGTTATTGATGAATGTCCTCAGGACAGAGTGAAGAATAGAAGACAATGATCAGCAGATCCAGTGGAAGGTAATATTTCTTAAGACAAAACAGGAAGTACAACGAAGGACTACCAGAGCCAATAATGACCATCTTAGGGCGTATATGTCTTTTAATATATTTTCTTCAGTACATAAGAACTACATAAAATAACATATTAATACACTTGAATTATATTTATTTGTCTGAAAGGTACATGAACCTTAATATTTATGTTCCTCCTGAACAAGCATCTGTATATGTTCTGCTTTTTGAACATGAACAATTTTTGCCCATGTCATGAATGTTTATGTGCGTGCAAATACTTGATGATGCACCAACTTCTTAAAAGTGTCCCATTTCTAAGTAGTTTCTTTTTTAAAAATTATTATTATACCTAAGTTTAGTGACTTAGGTTACTAAACTAAGTTATTAAAAGTAACTTTTTAATAATTTACTATATCTAAGTTTAGTAACATATCTTTATTGAGTAACTAATAAAGGTATAATTACTATCTTTATTTCAGTTTCACAAGTGTTTTGTAAACACCCTAAGCTTGCACTGTACTTCTTGTTTACTTATTGAGTAACATGTTAGCTATCTGAAAATCTCATACTCCAGTTAGGCAGAATTGCCTCTATCGCAGTGATGAGATGCCAAACAGTGCCAGTTTAAAAATGACTGTCAGCCTGAGTATCTGTGTGTTTCTTTTCAGTTCCCATTACAGAAAAGACTTTGGTTTCTACAGATCATCTTAACACTTTTCGCTATTACTTAGTGAAATACCAAATAAATGAGAATCCAGCTTTCAGTGAAACTTACCACGGTATTTGAAAAAGTTCTAAAAGTATCGGATTTGTTTCAGATGAGCTGACACTCCTTTCAGAAACAAGACACAACAATGTTCATGCAGGCCTTTCGAATTGTATTCACACCCCTTAACCGTTTGCTCATTTTGTCCCACTGTAACCACCACTGTTGGTAGATTTTACTGTGATTTAATGGGATCAGCCAACTCAATGTAGGGCATTTGTGAACCTGAGCAAAAATGAGTCTTTATAGTAAATACAAAACTGATAACGGCGGCTTAAAATCTCAGCCCTCTTGAGTCAATAACTATACTGAAGGAAGATTCGTCATTGCCCCAATCCCAACATCTGATTGATGTGTTTCCATGACAGTGAAGTATGAACTCACACTCATCTCTCAATCAATCAGATCAGTTTTCCTTTAAAAGCCTCCTCCACAGCATAAAACTGACGCACCATGTTATTTTTCCAGAAGATGTTTTCAGATGGAAGTTTGGGCTGAGACTCATGGAGTTATATATTGTGATTAAATCATTACAGGTGGACTCTACTGGCTTTTTAGGATTTTTACTGCAGTGGATTTTATGTAGGCGTATCATTAAAATTATACACCATAGTTTTTAGATTGTCATTTACAGTTACAGGACAACAATGGAAGTGCTTAGTGTTAGTCCATCAGAGAAAATACATTGAAACTTCAGGTGGTAACATGAAAAAACTGCAATGCAACTGCATGTTAGTAGGCATGTATTTTTAAACACAATTTGATGTGCTGAAACAATCTGTGTCTAATTACATTTTAACTCAATGAGTCACAAAAATGACCTTGTTAAAGAAGCCATGTGCACTTCATATGACGTCTCTGGTTAATACCTTTCACTTAAATTAGAAGACCAAGTAAATGGTTCATTGAACAAAAACACAGATGGAAAAGGGGGTCTCACTCCCTCTGTGCGTGTGTGTGTGTGTGAATGCGTGCGTGTATGTGTGGTATTATTATAATGAGTCTGTACTGTCTAATTTCCACAGAACAGGAAGTTCAGAAACAGTCACAGAAAGCCGATTCTGTCTACTCTTGAAATGAACACAGTGTGTTAGATGGAGCTGATATCTCCAGTAAATTCTTTCAAACTGGCTAATGTGACCTCAGCTGATAATTTGTGCTTAATTATAGCATTAAAGACTGATCAGGGAATGTGTTAGAACATCAGACTCCTTCAACTTTTTGTCTTTTATCATTCTAATAGGAAGTTGATCTAAAAATGATTTACAGACCTACAAGGAGAGTTGCAATTAATTTAATCACAAAATCAAATTTTTTAGTGTGCCTTGCTTTTTTTATTTTATCTTTGCAGGAAAACTTTATTTTATCTGTCTTGATCTGGGAACTATAATAAAGGTGTTATTTTATGCTAAAGCAGTATTTTTCATTTTGCATAAGATGTTATTTAAAAAAATAAATAAATAGGGGAAACCACTTAATTGAATTTAGTTTATAAAGTGCAATAAAACTTACCGGCATATTTGCACCCGATGCTTTTGGTTTTATACCTGATTGGTTATAGGACAAGCATGCAACATTCACAGAGTTAAATAATTGTTCTGAAGATGAACAAATCTCAACAGCTTTACCAAACTTCCTTGGAGAACCACTAATAAATCAAGAAGGACAATTAATTGAAGCAGACTAAAATAAAACATATTTGTTGTCCTAAAAGTTTTCCGTTGTGAATTAATTAAACCAGTGCAGTGTAATCTTTTTTGGAATAATACCTTTAGTCTGAGAAGCCACCATGTCGCTGTCGCCAACATGGGCTTAGAAAAGACAAACATCCATTATGAGAAAAAAACTGCAGAGAATAGAGCTGGACATATAGATATTACTTATGGAAAATAATTGAAAGCTTACTTTATTTCAGTAATTCAGTTCTCTATGTAAAGCATCATGTAGGTTAGCCACACAGATTGTTGTTTTCTAGTCTTTAATCCTGTTATTTTCATTTTAATGCAAAAAGTATTCTCAATACCTCCTTAAAGGTTGTTGTTATCAAAAGAAAAGCATACTCTAATTTATTGAGTTTTCAGTGTTAAATGAATAATTCTCACTTTATTTTGTCACCTATAGAAAAACAGGTCATGGTCAGTATTTCAGGTTAAATGTAAAAATTACCCTCCAAGCTTCTTAAAGGCTGAAGGCGACAGTTTGGCATACTTTCATTTACATCGGTTTTTCTTAAATTGTTTTACTTTATTCACATCTTTCCAATTAACTTCCTCTTCAGATGTGTTTACTTGTTTCCCTCTCATGGTGTTCACTAAATACCAGCACATGTGACGTCACTGATAACGTCAATCTGCATTTCATTCTCTAGTTACGTTTTACAATTGTTTTAAATTCCTTAGTAGGAAAGAAAGCGCTAATTGATAATTATATAGAAATACATTCTGTTTACTCACCTTGTCCTACGGGTCAAAAATGACCCGCCCTAACAAAAGCCCCAAAATAAAGCAAATCAATTGAATTTTTAATTATCTTTTAAGTCTTATAAGACTGCACATGAACTTATACGTATAAAGAAGAGAAACATACAGTGCAAGTTGATAAACTGCTTTTCACTAAAACATTTTCAGTCAGTAAAGACTTTTTTTTTTTAACCGTAAGAAACTTTCATTTACAAGAAGGGTGCTGCATTCATTTTCATGTCAAACAAAACAAAAAATAAAAACAGGACCATCCGAACATGGACTAACATTCTCTCCCCAGTGACACTTTTACTTTTGACATCTACTTCTTGGAAATGGCTTTTTACTTTCCCTTAAATTACATTTTTAAATGAATACTTGTAAAAAAAAAAAAGATATTGTATTGTTGTCATTAAAAACATTACAATATGCTTGTAATGACAGCATATTGTCACTAATCCTTTATTAATCCTGTAATAAAGGATTAGATTTTTTCTCAAACCTCAGAAAGGGAAGGAACTTAACTAATGCTTGTGTACATTTCTGCTCACATTCAGCGTCTGCAATCTGGGTCTCTTTATGTCGCAACATATCTCTGCGGCGTCTGAGGCTTCCCACAACAAACCATCAGAGACGCTCGACAAACAGAACTGATGTTGCCATCATACGCAACAGTGGCCTTCTGCTCCAGCGTTTCAGCCGCCTGTCTCTCTGCAGGGACAGCTTAAAGGAAGCACTTCTGATTTTTCAGAAAAGCAGCGCTTCAAGGAAGCCACCCAAAAGCGGAATAGCTATAATTTGGAAGTCTTTTTTTTCCCTCTCAATTCAGTAAAAGGAAATACTTTTTAATGTGTTTTGATGTTTCAGGATTTTTTATGTTATTGCTGACTCCTCAGTTATTGGCCCAGAGTGCGGCTGCAGGCTCAGCACTGACCTTTCTTGTAATTTGCAAAGTTAGCTCAAAGCGCAAATTCTGACAAAAAAGAAATTAGATTTCAGAAAGAAGTTTAAGGCGCAAATGATTCCTAGGCGCCATTCTTATCAAACTGGGCAAAAACCGACTGCAAGTGTAAAGATTACGGTGGGAAGTTATGATTTACCCTGAGCAGTTTGTGTTATGCAAGCCGAGGTGCTGAAGGCGTTGGTGGGGTCTCTGGGGAGAACTTTGGTTGAGAATCTGTGGCTGAGATCAGAATAGGTATTTAGAGAGGAACTGGGAGAACGCTGAGGACGCTGACACTGGAGAGGCAGGTGGGACGCGAAGCCCACATCCTGGGCCACCTAACCACACACGTTGTGTACATACACACTCCTAGCAAGGTACTGAAGCCACTGACCAAGGATCACATCCTCTAATCAGTATCAGTTCATGTCCATCCCACTAGAAGGTCCTTGTTGCCTTGCACTCCTTGACCTTCTTCAGGGTTAGTTGTAGACAAACAACAGCACGATGCAGACATGACGGTTAGACTGCAGTAAGAGCATCAGCAAATCAACTTAGACATTTGTAATCAGGAAAAATGAATGGCACCAGATTACAAGACGAGTAGTTAAAGTTTGACCATTTGAAAGCGAGTTTACATGTGTTTTATATGTTCAGTTTACACTGGGCAAGTAGAATAAAGGCGTTGTTAAAACAGTAAATATATTTAAAGATACAACCCAATGGTGATTTTTTTTTTGTTTGTTTTTTAACAAAAACATATTGCCAAAACAAAAGCATAAAAAAAATCCATGTGCTTATTGTGAGTTTGGGTGAAATATACAGTGAAATACATAAGATCTTGGTTGACCAGCAGGTCAGCAAACAGATTTTGACTCAGATTCAGAATATAAATTGGACTTGGAAAAAAAAAGGAGTTCAATCTTATGTCTTTGAGAAGCAGATTTTACTCTGAAGATTTGAAAGACATGATGGTGGAACTGAAGTCAGGAATATGTAGAACATCTTCAGACCTCGAAGTGGCAAAAATAACTTTTATTTTCATTCACCTATCAATCAGCTCATAATCCTCTTTTACATTTTCCATCCAGCTTGTTTCTTTGCATTTGCCATTAAATTGTTGCGGTATTAACATGTACCACTTCACAAAATGCAGCTTCAACTCCTGCTGCTTTCGCTCACCTGAAGAGCTTCTCTCTAAGTGCAGAGCTTTGTTTTGTTTTTTGTTTTTTACTTCTTCTGCATGCTGCTGATTGAAATGGTGGACATTGCAGATGCATGATGGGAGCGCTGGGAAGATTGGGATCATTTAAATTCTGTCTGCCTGGTGATCATTTTTGGTTGTAGTTCTGCAGGAAACCTGGACCTGCTCTTTGTGAACTGAACCAGTGGGATTTGTTTTAAGTCTTCTTTTTCTTTTCTTTATTTTTATTTTTTTTTGGGGGGGGGGGAATTGATCCAAGTGTCTATTGATTAGCAGAACTTCAAAAATGTCAAAGAAGCTAAATGAAAAGCTGTGGAGGAGAGTTCCAAGCTGCCATCAGTGGCGCAATTGATTTTACATAACAAATGTTCACAGACAATACAAACCCAACAGGGTGATGAAGTACACCTTCCCAAGAAAGATTCTCAAAATAAAAAGTGTTAAAAAGTTAAAAAGTGTTGGGGGAAAAAAAAATCCAACAACTTTCAGTCCTGCTTTTACAAAAAGGTCAAAGTCAAGCTGATCAAACCATCTTCGAAGGAGGAATTTGATCAAAAACATGTGAGTAAAAAAAAAAACATAGAAGATGTAACCTGAAATGAACTCTGATCTGTTGTCTTTTGCCTATGAGAGACAGAAACTTGTTTTTGAAAGATGGTGGATTTTAGCTTGATTATACAAAAAAAAAAAAAAAAGATGACAAAATGTTTTAAAGTGAGCAATAGTTGAACCCCTCAAAGCAAATGTAGGAGACATGACACCGGATGTCTCACATCTCATTGAGTGGGTGAAGGGACAGCTGAAGATTGCATCAGTCTAAACTCTTGTTGCTGCACTCTTTGACAACAGTGATCCTTGACCGCCTGATTTGTCTCTGGACAGGAAACACAGGAAGGAGCCCAAAAAGAAGATCCAGTGCACAACTTCTGCCCCGAAAAGAGGAACAGTTGGAACAAGGCTCAGTTGAAGAGTTGGATTGTTTCATCCTTTTTTTTTAAATAAAATAAAAACAAAATTAAAAAAAGTATCTTGTTTATTAAATGAAACTTTGGTGAGCAGAAGGGAATCCACCTGCTGGATTTCTAATCATCAGTGGTTTTGACTTGTGTTTAGAAAGACTGTCTCAACAGACATGAACATAAAGACTGCCTATTGAAAACAAAAAATTCCATCCATTATATGAGTAATTTAGTATATAAAAAAAAGAGCTGCTCTGTTTCATATTTGAGAAAAACAAAACCTATGAGGTGAAGAAAGTTCTGGATGGTGCAGGGGAAGAACAGGGGTGGGGTAAAGGTCTCAGAGGAGCCCAAGCAGGGGAACGTTAGAGCTCACGCCTCAGTGCTCATTCTTCTTACATATGTGTGTGTGAGTGTGCGTGTGTGTTTGTGCATGCAAATTGCTGAAACGACAGGATGTGGCTAGCCAAAAAGGTGATTATTGTGAGGTAAAATGAAAGGTACCTGGTAAAAATGGGTATTTTAACATTTCCTCTTAAATAATCTTTAATTTAAAAATGTCATAAAAAAAGAAAGAAAATAACTGTTTTGAATGAAAGTTGGGAAGCAGTGGAATGTGAGAGGAAAAAAATACTAAAAAACGTGAGGTGTTGCAAATCATTAAAAAGACAAGCAAACAAAATAGATTCTGAAAAAGTCAAAATTGCATGCACCGTGTTTCAGAAAAGTTATGATGGGGGTTGTGTACCGCAATGTCGCTTCACTTCTTCTTTTACCGACTACACAGTGTTTGGGATCCGAGATTAAGTTGTGTTGATCTGAAAGTGAAAATATTTTTGTTTGTTTGTAGGATTTTAGCCTCTACAAGCTCAGGCCTCGTTTGTTTTGCCTTCTGTTTTCCTTCGTTGAAGTTTCTTGATTTTAAATTCATAACCCCTTCATTATGTTGCTAGAAAATTAAATCAGTCTTACTTGAAAGAAAATTATCTACACAACAGCATGTTTACATTTTCCTTGGTACTTTTTGAAATGTGCAAGTTTTTCAGATCATGCGCTCCAATTCACACCCACACTCTCAACGAGGCTCTCTTGTAAGTGACCGTAATGCTGATGACAAGTCAGATATTCCCCCTCCTTCTTCCCTGGAGGAGGCACTGTCCAATAATTTCCAAAAAGGAATTTCTACATTTGATTCGTAAGAGCTGGGGAATTTTTTCCACTTCGCGCCGTTCCCCCTAACTGCAGAGGTGGCAAAGTTCACGGGAATTCAAGAAGTAAACATTGACTTACAGTACTGAAAAGAAGCCATTTTCATACCAACCAGTTTAGTTTACATTAACATAAATCAGGGAATTTTCTTCGGTGGCTCATTTATTTACTTACACTAATATTCTTAAATGTCCTGATTATTTTACGGCACATATTTTTGAAACTTTGAGCCACCTGGTAGGTTACCACGTTACTTCGTTTTATATTTATACTGGGTTTACGTTTTTGTTCATCCTAGATTTTCTAAAAATAATGAACTAACTAACTAACTAACTAACTAACTAACTAACTAACTAACTAAATAAATAAATAAATAAATAAATAAATAAAAAGTCTGAGGAAGTGTAAGAGCTTTCAGATTCAAAACAAAAATCTTTTAACCACTGACTTTTCCAGTTCTCAAAATTTTAAGCTTTGTTTGATAGAGAGCATTAAACATTTTCTTCTACACTTCCGGACTATATTTTAATTTCTTTCTCTATGTATCCAATGCAGCATTTTCCTACATAACTATTGAATGTAAATATATTTTTTTTCATGATCTTGATTACTTGGGTTTTGTTGTTCATGTGTTCCTGACAACTGGTGAATTTTTGCGCCTATTTCATAGAGGAACAGAATCCTTGTGACTTTTCAAAACTGTGTTTCTAATTTGAAGGAGTGAGTAAATAGATCGGACTAAATATGCAACCTGGCAGCAGGTGTTGGTGGAATTTTAAAATTTGCTCTAAATTGGTCCCAGTGCAGCTGAAGGAGCTGTCGACCACAGACCTTAGCAGAAAGTACAGTCACGTTGCATACTTCCTCCTTTAAAATACCAGGCTCCAAAAATGACCGACACATGATCATGGTGAAATTACCTACTAATACTGCCACCTTTTAAGCAGGAGCTTTGTTAATAAAATCAAAAATTAGTTGAGCAGTCTGAGTCTGTTCATTTCTTTGCCATGTGCATGTGGCCTGAGAAATGTACTTTTATTTTGGAAAGTGTATGTGGAGAAACATACAGCTCCGTCTTGCTGACAGAAGAAAAATAGTGAAAAATGTACAGCAACCCTATAAGCTGCTGAAGAGTATTTTTATCTCTAAATTTGCATGTTTCTCTGTGAGGCTGGGCCCACTCGAAGAAGAGCAATGGCGGCTGTCCATAAAAGCGTTGATGCAGAACTTCTATGGCTGGTTAATTGTGATAGTTCTCACAGTTTGTCTTGCACATCAATAGACGGGGGGAAATCCTACTTATGTAACTGAGGGGTTGGAAAATGTGCTCATGTCAGAAGAGGGCATAAAAAACATGACAAGGGTAAAGTGAAACTTATACAAAAGGGGAATACCTAATTCATAAAACTTGGTCTCGGTGTGAGAAATTTTATTTATCTTTTATTTATTTTCTTGCACAAAAACATTTTCAGAGTGAAAGAAATATTCAGTTTTAACTGGATGCTGAATTGTTGTGCAGCACAACTTTGTACTGCCATCTAGTGGCAAAAGATAAAAATGTAAACTCTGTTGCTTTGTTTCTCTCTTGTCTTTTTTTCTTTCCTTTTCTGTAATATTTCATCCATTGATAAAAATTTTTATTTATTTTTCACTTAGATTTTTTTCCTCAAAACAGATGTGAAAGAAACCAACAAATGATTGTTATGCAAAACAAAAATAAACAAAGACAAACAAACAAATAAATGAATAAAAAGTGTAAAACAAACAAGAGAAAATCAGATTATATCTGTCTAGTGTAGGCTGTCAGAGTCATTTGTGCAGCAGTCAAACATCAGAGAGGTCATACGTGTGACCACAACAACACAGAAATGTCTCACTGTCAGCCGTGACGCATGCACTTTACAATGAGTCCTACTTTAACTGACTGAAACTTTTTACTGATCAAAATGATAAAACAATTGATACTGTATATTTTGCAACAGCTGAAGCACATTTTTTTTATGTATTTCCTCTCTGTTGGTGCATTTGCTTATTTTTTTATATGTTCAGACCCAGAAATAACCTTGACGCTCTCTGAAGTTAAAACTATCGAGGAGGAAACTCAGTTTGTGGTTTTGTGGATTCTCAAGTCTGATCTTATCTAGAAACCAGTCATCCCATGAAACCACAACTGATAAGAGAAAAATCGGCATGAATCAGTTCTGGAATCTTTACAAAAGTGAATATTGAAACCACTGTATTACCAATGAAAGCAGTGTGAGGTGTTAAGACTTTTGGACTGAATTAGTAAACTGAATATTTGCCAAACTTCGACTGACTCACACACCTTGCTGATGTTGATGCACAGCTGTTGGAGTCTCTGGGTATTTGTTTACTAAATTTCTAAGATTTTCCATAATTATACCCAGATTTGTTACCTTATCTATACCCAATGACTCACTGATCCTAATTGAATAGTTGGCAGAGAGAGCTGGTGGTGACAATGTGCACTCAGTCCATAAACCATCAGTCACAGTTTTTAGTCCCATTAGACTCTCTATCCGATCTTCACACAGAAAAGTTGAATCAACTAATGGATAACCTTTACCACGTGTCCTCGTCACATCTGTGTGGGAAAAGTAGTCGCAGTTGTTTTTTCAGTGTTATTTGTAGCATGAAATGAAGAGTTCCTTCAAATTTTGGGGATGTGAGACTACCGTTTGTGGTATGAACAAGCATGTTTCTATGAGAAAGGGGCTTTTTTTTTGCTTGTGCCTTGCGTGAAGAGAAATTTGTTTTTTGTTTGTTTTTTGGTCTTTTTTTTTAATATTTAGTTTAGTTTTTTCTTTTTAATTGCAAAAAACAGTCCAGTCAGAAAACAGTCAGTGCGATTTCAGCAGGGTCTTTTGTTTGAAGAAAACAAAAACTTTAATCGAATGTGTCGAATGAAGTGCAATACGATACAGAAATGACGAGCACCAGACCCCGCGACCCTGCAACGATTATCAGGTATCGATAATGGATGTATTTATGGCTAGACGGACTCAACACAATCATATCTCCCTCATCACTTAACAATATATCACCATGCTTTCTGATTATAAAGAGTGACTGTAAATTTGTTTATGAACTGTGCTGAGAATGAAACTATTTACTGTCTTACTGAATTTTAACATTTATGCTTTCTTGTCATACGTAAATGTTTCATATCACCAAAGCAAATATAATTTCAGACAAATAATCTTTTGAGAGCGTACAACTCCAAAACAAAAAAAAAAAAAAAAGAATTTCATAAGTGAAGTGAAAAGCTATTTAAACCAACCTGGCACCACGTGAAAAATCCCCCAAGAAAAAAAATAGCATCTAAAGCTATTTATAATCATATGAAAGTGGCTGGGAAAAAGTGGCATCAGACTCCAAGGTCACTGCTGATGAGAAGAACACAAAGATTCATCTGATATTGGCCAAAAAACGTCGTGAAACTTTAGTTTGATCTGAGGAGAGAAAAGTAGAGCATTTTAGCAAGTGTGTGTTGCATCTTGTTTCCAACTAACGCAGTGTTTCAGAGAAATAGAGTCATACAAACCAGCTAACTTGGTGTTGGAAGTGTGACAGTGAGGTGCTGCTTTGCTGTTTGAGGACAAAGAGACATAATTGTTGAAACCAAGAGTCTTGGTTGTTCTACCAGAAAACCTAAAGGAGAATATTTGGTCTTTTGATGGAAAATCTACCAAAACACATCAACATGCCCACCTGTGAATATCAAGGTCTTAGAGTGGTTTTGTGAAAGTCTGGACTGAAATCAGTTTGACATG